CAAGCGCAGAATCTCCGCGCGAATGCGCCTACGTATGTTCTCGATCTTGACGCCTACTTAACGCCGCTTTGAGACTGCGTGCACAGCACGACTAGCACATCTTCTGTGTCCATGGCGCTTTTTTGGGAGCAGACACCAGCGAATGTTGCAGGGAAGGGGGTTGTCTGGGGATTTGAAGATCTCGGCATCCAAAACTTCGAGATCCGGGAGGAAATGTTGTCCATTTTTGAAATGTCTCGATCAGTTCTTCATACTGAAGATAAGTAATTTGCACCATTTGGGTCGGTTAACATCGGACGGATTAAACATTTTGTGAGTTTGTGGATGTATGTTTTTGCATATTCCGTTTAGATCAGTTGCATGCCTGATAAAAGGGTGATAAAAGGGTGTATAAAACTTTTTCGATTAAACCGTTTTATGTGGGTTTTGGAAGGCACCCATTGACCGTATGGTATCAAAGTTTATGTTCCACAATTTAAAGGTTAGGTTTCTGCATCGCATCAAGTGTAAGGATCTTGTTGATGCAGTTCAATATCTCGCACAAACATCGAAGTAGATGTAATACATGCACATGATGTATTATTAGTGTATTTGTGAACGCATGCGGCAAGTCCATAAACCATTCGATTAACAACCGCCATGGCTTTTTCTTTCAGCAAGCTTACGAAGCAACACTGGTACTGTAGGACAACAGATTACATGATAAACAAATACTGGGGCCAACGAGGCCAACACCGATCGTGTAGAACTCCATCCTCAACGAGAAATCCTCATTGAGAATGGAAACTGGATAGTTTGGGGGGCCAACGCCCTCGACACAGCTCATTCTCTAATTTTCCAGAGCGGAGATGGAACTACGAGTCCTCGTTACGGTACTTTTCGCAGCATTGGTTGGATACGTTGCTGCTACCGTCGACCATGACAAAGTTGAGCCCTTTCCTCAGCCCGATCCAGCAACTATCTCTGAAAAAGCTGCCATCAAGTTCAAGCCACAGTTGTACAGCGCAAAACTCGAGTATTGCGTGTCATTTCCTGCCGTTAATGCTGTCGGCGAGGTCACCGGCGGACTGAAGGGGACAAATGGAAACGACGCATGCAGGCTTGCTCCTCTTGGATCTCAGATTTACGGTCGAGCTGGGTGGCACAACGACCGCTGGGCCATCATGTACGCGTGGTACTTCCCGAAAGGCTTTTATATGGGTCTCCCTACAAGACGTCATGACTGGAAGAGCGTGGTCGTGTGGATTGACAATGCCGAATTGGAGACACCAAAAATTCTTGGGGTTTCCACTTCCGTCTCTGACACTCGCTACAAGAGGGACCTCGTCATTTTTCCAAGAAACTTTGCTGGCTACCAACTGCAGGGTCCAAGGTTCCACCACACTGAAGTTTTTGGCTCCAACACTTCTCTTCGCTTTAAGATCTGGCCTACTTTGTTTGTTCCGTATATGGGCTTTGCCGATTTTGACGGTGAATACCAGGACTTGATCATGTGGGAACAACTAACGGACGCGGCTCGGGCAGCTTTAAACGACGACAATAACTTTGGAAGAGCTGAGGTCCCCTTCAGTGACACACATTACAAGGAACACCTCGAAAACGCGTGGCCGTTCTAGTTTCGAACCGCAGAAGTTTCGAAATTGTATTAGGTTAGTCAGCTAGCCTCAAGGTAGTTGTTGGATAGCTTAATACTACTGCTAGTTTCTAAACGAGTGAGCAATGCCATTGTTTAGGGTAAGAGTGCCTTGTGCGGCCTCATCGCATAAGTGCAGTAATCACTGTGAAATGGCAATTAGTTTCTGACTCGAGTTGCTCGCTTCGACGTCGCCTTGTACGCTTGATTTCAATGCTCGTTGTAAAAACTTCTTCTGTACATGGATTTGGGCACGCGGGGCTTCTCGTGTAGCTTTAAACGAAAGTAAAGAGAGCAAAGAGCAATGGCAGTGCTTCAGAGCTTATCCAGCTTGACTTGATCCTGTCTCCACGCCAATGAGTTGCTCATGCGTTGAGGTCAGCTCAAAACCCTACATTTTAGTGAATCCTGTGCGAGTTGAAACTAGTACATTTCACATATCGTCAACGTTCTCCGATGTCGCGCTAGCTTTATGTTTCCAGCCCATGTATGGCCTTGATGCAACAATATAGCACCCGATCCTTGCGTGCCAAGGGACGCCTCCGACACGCTGAGCAAACCGCTCAGCATATCGCCGTGCTACGCATCTATTATATCACCTCGACCGTATCTTACTTTTCTTTGATTTTGTGGAAACGCTGAAATAACAGTAAACAGAGCAACACCCAGATCATGAAGCGCAAGCAGCATCATGTAGAATACGGTCACAAACCGTGCAAGGAAAACACATCGAGCTCATACATGCTACAATATCCAGATCCTGCTATTCGCTGCTTGAAGAAAGTCGTGACTTAAATACTTGAGTAAAGCGCAGAGCATAAGAGCATCTCCACCGGTTGTATGTAAACCCAAATTACTCAGAAATATAGCGATAGTTTTTTTGCTACTGCACCGGTCTGAGTAACGCGAGAGTTGCTGAAAAATTTACGCGGGGCCGCCGATCTGACCAAGTTTGGCCACCAAGGGGGTTTAGTGTAAACCAGAGAGCAAATTCCACAGGCGCTCTCCGTGCTAAGGCGCAAGCCACTGACGACACTTTTAATGGTGTCTTCGCCTCCAATAGCACTTGTTCAGGCTATGCTAGCTCTCTCAGCATCACCGCTAACCTGCCTAGGCGATTGTAGCCAAGACAGCAACGATGCTGCCGTCCTCGCCGTCGTTAAACAGCCGGAAGAGCTTGAGTGCGATGCTGTCTATCTCCATTGCGGTGACTGAGACTGATTTTGTTTTACCTCATTTGCCATTTCACCGATGTTGGACGGTCCCTACTTCCACACGCCGGTTAGGTATTCACCTCAATTTTTGAGTACTTTAACACATTACAGGAACCACGATATGTTGTAAAGGGATTTTTTAAGGTGTCAGTTCGATTGTTCTATCATTTATTTTTCGTTGAGAGCGATCTTGAAACGACTCTATGGAGAGTCGCGAATTCGAACGAAGCCATGTATGTCGACGTGAAGAAGCAGGAGGCAGCGTCTCTCAAGAATCTACCGGTCCACACCAGTCGAAGAGCTAAATCTCGCTTTGCAGAGAGCTTACTCTTCATTGCTCTCTCGCTGTTGGTGGTGGGGTTGCTGACTTGCGGCTTTATAATCGAGTCGTACATCCTCTCGCAAACACCTCTTACATTTCTATTTGGTGACAATCGCTCGTCGTGCTCCCCTGATGTCGTGGGTTTAACCAGCGTCCGGTATCACTCTGACCACGAATACTACAACAAACTGAGGGCAGTCACCCCTCTTAAGCCGCCAGTTTTCTATGGAGAACACACGGCGCTATGCAAAAGCCGCATCCATCTCAAGCGCAAGCACTATTCATTCAGCAAATGTTTGCCGATATCGGGACGAAAAGATCCAACATTTTGCAGTGGAGCCGATCGTATGGATGTGCTGGAGCAGAAGACGTCGGGGCATATTTGCCGTGCTAGCGTTCTACACATGCTGCTAGTGGAAGTGTACGAGGAACTCCAAGCTTTGGGGAAATCTCCAGTTATATTATACGGTTCGTTACTGGGTGCTGTACGTGATCGAAGTATGATCCCATTTACAGAGGATGCTGACATCGGATATAGCCGGAGACTTCGTGTTACAGATGATCTGCATCGATTACTGTGGGAAAAAGGGTATCATCTATTTTTCCAGGATATCTGGCGTGTTTGTATGGCGCCTACACATCCTCTAGCTGCCAAGCTTTACGATCCCACACAGTCGATTTCCGCTGATTTTGAAATGCCATACCTGGATCTGTATTACATGAATCAACAACGAGACAGTGGCGAGTGGAAAATTGATGAGATGAACCGAATTAACGGCAGTAACTTGATTTCTGACGACAAAGTGAGGCCGTTCTCACAAGTGATGATCAATGGCCAGCGGTTCGATACCGTACACGATCCAGATTACTTTTTAACGAGGATGTACGGAAACGATTTCATGACACCAAAGCCAAGGGATGAAGGGAAGCAGCAACTCGTATTCGTTAAGACTAATGGAATCGGTCCCGGTGCACTCAATAGCATCAAAAGACACGAACGAGACACTTAAAAATTGTTACTTTACTCGAATTCATGTACTTCTTAGACGATATCTCAGTTTTACTTTGGTAATTTGTAAATCCGTCCTGTTGTTCTTCACTTGCGTGGTTTCGGGACCATATAATCGTCGCCGTACGATTCCTTTAAGAAATAATTCGGGTCGTGCACTGTGTCAAATGGTAGTCCATTGATCGTCACTTGCGAGAATGGCTCCACTTTTTCGGCTGATAGTGCTTTGTCAACATATTTCTCCAATCTCCACTCAGTCGCATTCAACTTCTCCATTGCATAGAGATCAAGATACGGCACTGCATAATCTCGGGCGATCGGTAGCCTTGGATTGTACAAAATAGCCGCAAGAGGGTGAGTCGGAGCCACGCAAACGCGCCAAATGTTGAGAAAGAAGAAGTGATACCCTTTTGCCACCAGAGCACGGCCCAATTCGTCGTCTCTATTGAGTTGTCCACTGTATGCGATGTCTGTGTCCTCAGTAAAAGGAATCATGGACCCGTTGCGAACAGCACCGAGAAGTGACCCGTAGACGACTAATGGCGCTTTACCGAACGCATAGAGTTCCTCGTACACTTCAACAAGTAGCATATGCAGTACACTAGCGTAGCATTGTGTCTTAGATGTGTGTTGAGTTAGTAGATCCATTCGATCCGCTCCGGTACAAAACGGTGAGTCCTTACGCCCAGAGATTGGTAGACAGTATGCGTACCCAACGTCCAGCGACTTGGTGCTGCTGCAAAGTGCAGTGTGGTTGCCGCGGAAAACTGGTGGTTGAAGCCTCGTCTCTTTCAAGAGAGTGTAGTAGCGGTGATTGGAATGGTATTCGACCTGGCTCAAGTTGACTGTGTTTGGACTGCAAGTCGAAGCGTTTAAGGCATCGATGCTGGTCGTAGTGGAGTTAGTGTAGTTGCCGGGCTGAGTAGCGTTGCTGAGCAGGAGATATTCCGACGTTCTGGACAAGATGTTCATCTCCATCGCGAGATCACACGCTACGACTCCTGCCAGCAGCAACGTCACGATCAAAAGCACCAAGCTGCCTCGGGAAAACGTCTTCAGTCGCTGTGTGCTTTCGGTTGGGTCTTCAAGGTTGCTTTTGTTCGAAGGCATGTCGGGAATAAGTACTTGTCAACCTGGCTGCGGAAAGAGAAATGAGCGGTGATATGCGTTGGAGCTAGAGCTTGAGCTGGGGCTGCCATTGCTGGCTCTGTAGGAAAACCAAGTGTAGCTGCAAAGGCTGAAACGCCAGACTGGATCAACCTAACGATCGGGGCACGACAACAGGGTTCTTTTTCTTCACTGTAAGCACAGCAATGGGGTTCTTTTTTGCTGTAGACGAATCGTTTTTGCTGCTCGTATGGTGCTCCGTTTTTCGATTTCGAACGTTGAAGACAACACTGAGTCAGCACAGATCAATTTCTGCTTCTAGTGCTAAAGTTTGCATTCCTCCACTGTGTGTTCTTTCAAGCACTCTCAGTGTAGGAATCTAATTCGACAGAGTCGATCATTTCGTCGTGAGTTCCACGTAGCTTTTTCCAATGATTGTAGATTTTGTTGTTCGCACACAATCATTTGTTTTCCACGTCGTTGCATCGGTTTTTGATCCTTAGTTTTGACTACACGTTTAAGGTCGTCGTTATTGTTTGTGAAGCCAACGCCGCACAATCAGCTATACACAGCAGTAAAAAACGTTGTAATGAGTTTACTTCGAAGTGTTTTACACACTTCCAGCGCGAGCCGTGTAGATATGTACAGCAAAAATAAATGAAGACTGCTTCTAAATTGCCAACAAATTGCACTGCTTTGGGATTTCGGTCGGGTAAATAAGAGATAGATCTACTATGTCGATACAGAAGCATCGCGATTCTGATATTAAATGTTTATGAATCCGAACACATTTTTTTCTCTTCGACGTCCTACACTTCGCTGCTTAGTTTGACTAAACAACAGCGCGTAGTGCTCAGGAAATAATGAAACATAAAAGTTATCAGTGATTATATTAGCGCGAAAAAACTCTTATTACAAATGCCAGCAATGTGAGCAGAACACCCAATCTTCATATCGCGAGCAAAGTGAAGGACATGGGCGCAGGTTGACCAGAAAGTATGTTATTATCCATCCTATGTGCTCATACTGCATCCCAGTTCGTCCAAATATCATTTTTTTTAACTTCAAATCCGTACTGTCGGGTATCCGGATTCCGAATCCAGAATCGGCGAAATCGGGACGTTATGTTCATCCCGCTTCCTATGCAATAACGACAATGGGCATTTCTCTTTATCAGTCCGCATTTGCTAGGCTATTGTCGAATTCTCAAAATGCGCTTCCCATCGATGCAATAGAAGTCACATCGACAAAAATGTCGATATAACAAACAAAAAAAAACAATGGCGCAAAGCTCTGATTACAATCACAAAACAATCTCCAGCATGAAAAACAACAAGACTATTAAGATACACTTCAAGAATCCAACGGGATTGTTAATGAGCACCGAAAGGCTGCTGCAACGTCGAAACCTTGCTTCCGAATGGGAAAGTGGAACACTGCCTTTGTAGCATCTGTTATGTTAATATTAAAGTATATGTAAACATATTATCGGTGTTCCCATGAAGCCCGAGCGACCAAACCAACAACAATGAGACCAAAAACTGAGTCTTATAGAAAAGGATAACCACTAGGATTCAAAGTAGTGGCACTGTAATCAATCAGTACTATGGATCCGTTCATGTATGGCAATCCACTTAAACTCACCTCGCCAAATACAATATTTATTGGCAGAGCTCGCTGTCTGGTCCGAGTACCATTGCACTAGCAGTACGAATTATACTATGCAATTGGTGAGGAAACATTGCAACGCCGTCATCTTTTCTCATCACTCGCCCTCCTCTGCCAATTCGTAATGGTTTCTCTCAGAGGCCGACTCTGCAAAGCTCTGCAATCTTCGCCCGTAGTTGAAGTTGTTAACAGCTGGAATTGGCGGTACCAACTGTTGCCAACTTCAACTATAATACCGGTGCACCTTACACGAATTTATAAGAGTGAGGCGGTGGTAGTACAAGGCTGGCCATTGACGTTAGCATCGAGCGCGTCGTGTCTCCGATGTGGTGACAGCACTGGTCCAGCACTGTATCTTAAAGATACTATCTTTGCAGCCTACCGTCATGTTTGCGGATATAAGAGTTTCACCAATCAGTATTCACAATCATACAATGTTGTGATACTGTCGCTAGAACTTGTGCTAGTCCGACCAGTCGCGAGTCGCGAGTGCAGCTTCCAAAGCGAGAAAGCATCAACCGTAAACCGTTGCCTTCTGCATGGGCTCTGCTTCATTCTTCAGTATTGAGATGTCAAACCAGTGGATGGGCTGGATGTGCACAATAAGTGAAAGATCCCATTTAACAGGGTCGTGAGAGGGTAAAAGGTTAAAGCAACGTGGACGCTGCTACCGTAGGCGTCAAACCGTGCGGAAGTAGGCAATTTGTACAAACAATCTGAATAGTACTGAGTGAGTAGTACAGTAGATGGTGTGGACTGTTCACTGCATATGACCGTACTCACTCAGACTTGGTGACCCAACACTTCGATTTGTTGATGTTTACGACGTCCGTAATACATATACGGAGGTACTAGATTCGATCATTATTCAGTCGCGTGTTGTTTCTGTGACCATGTGGCGTTATTGAATGCGAAACAAGAGCTGGACTCCGATCTTTATTGGATTGCGTTTCTAAGCGCAAATACCAGAGGCTAGTACTGGTAGATACATGCAGAATACCAAGAAGCGCCTACTGAAAAAAACCAAGCCTTCTTAAGCAGGAAAAGTGTAAATTCAGCGTGGGAAGTACCACGATTTTAGGATCAGCGTCGGTCCTCTCTGGCTCAAGAACACGTATCGGTGTGAACCAGTCTACACGGGGGCGTAAATCCAGCAAGAGGGATAAAAGGGGGTGTTAAGGTGTGTACGTACCTCTAATAAGGCTTGAAGTACTATCAAGTGCTCTGTGCAAGTCCGACTACTGAGAGGTATAGTAAACGATGTACCGTGTACACTACAAATCATCGCACTCAGTGACTGAGCAAGTCACAGCATCGATTTGTTGGTGCTCACTTTGTGTTTACGACGTCCATAATACTGACAAAGAAGTTCGATCATTATTCACAGTCATGCAATCTTGTGACGTTATGAAATCCCAGTTGAGCAAAGCAAGCGCTGGGTTCCGCTTCTTGTTGAATTTCGTTTGTACGGCAAGATGATCACGGATATTGAAAGCTGGTGCTGGCAGAGAATATACAATGCCACAAGCGAATAGAGTTTGGATCTCTTCACTTTCTGAAGAAACGAGTCCTGAACAAGCAGAAAAAGCATGACCCGTAAAACCGTGGGATTCTGCATGGGCTCCGACATCCAGGCTCTGATCAGCATCAATTATCTCTGACTCAAGTGCAAATGTATCGACTTCAACCAGTCTACACTGTGCAGTGCACGGGCATAAATCCAGCAAGAGATAAAAAGGGTGTTAAGGTGACCAACATAATGTTGAACATACCTCGAGCAAGCCTTGAAGTACCATCAAAGAAACGTGGATGCCGTAAGCGTCAAATCTTGCTACTCAGAGTCTTGGCTGAAGGCAAAGTGATCGCAAATGCTCCCTTGTGATCACATGTAGCTCCAACTGACAGTGTTGGGAATCCCAGCTCTATCATTGTCAAACTCGCTTTCAACTGCATCAAGAGCAATGAAAGTACAAGCCATTATCGCCTTCGCCGCGAGCGTTGTTGCCGTCGTGTCTGGGTCAGTCGCGCCCTGGGAGCAGTATATCCTGTCACCTGCGTCTCGAGACATCGCTCCTGTCGGCATCTACGGCTCCTCCGGCAATGTCAACGTCTCCGATCTTACTGCCACGCTGTCCCGTAACGGATCCACCGTCACCTACGATTTCGGCAAGCAAGTGACGGGCTTCGTCACGCTGCAGTTCGGTTCGGGTACCACAAGCAACACACAGCTCGGTGTCGCCTTCTCTGAGAGTGCCCAGTACATCGGTATCGAGTCCGATCTATCTACCGACATGGCTATCATTGACGGCACCATCTACGCTCCTGCTGCACCTGATTCCACCTACACTTTCGGCCGTGAATTCGCTCGAGGCAGCTATCGCTATCTAACGCTGTCTACAAGCTCCTCCGACCCGATTGAGATCACTGGAGTGTCCACGCACTTCACGGCGGCTCCTGCTACCGACGGCGATAAGCTACGTGAGTATTCCGGCTACTTCTACAGTGACGACGACCTGCTCAACCGGATCTGGTACGCCGGTGCGTACACCGTACAGATCTGTACGATTGCGTCGAACGAATCTCGTGCGAACCCACCGACCATTACTGAGTACGGCTGGTTCAACAATGCCACCATCCAGAACGTGTCTACCGGTGCTGAGGTGTATGTGGACGGCGCCAAACGCGACCGTACGCCGTGGCCTGGTGACTTTGGCGTCGCTACGCTGTCCAAGACGGTAACGTTGAACGACGACAACCTTCTATCTGTTCGTCACGCTATTAACTCGCTCTACGCGATCCAGAACACGACGAACGGGCAGTTCGCCTACGCTGGAACGCCCATTGCTCCTCGAGTGCAACTCGCGGGTATCAACTCTGATACGTACCACATGTGGACGCTGATCGCGCTAGTCGACTACGCGGTTCTCACCGCTGACACGGAGTTCCTTAAGAGCCACTGGGACCAAGCACTCTATGGTTTTGAGTTTATCCTCGGCAATGTCGACTCTTCCGACATGCTTCTGAACGTCACGGGTATATACGATTGGGGCCGTGTTGGTCAAGGAGGCAAGAACATTGCAGCCAACTCGCTTTTGTATCATGCATTGTATAGCTACGTCGACGTGGCTCAGCACCTGGGCTATGAGATCCCTTCCTACAATGGCACAGCGTTCGGGGATATCGCCAGTGCTGTGAAGACCGCGGTTAATACCAACCTTTGGGACGACTCGGTCGGTCTCTTCCGTGATAACACTACTGCTGCCGGTGCCGAGCTTCACCCGCAGGACGGCAACTCGCTCGCTGTCCGGTACAACTTGACCCAGTCATCAGAACAAGCCGCTACTGTATCAGAGAGCCTTGCTGCCCGTTGGAACGAGTTCGGCGCCGTGTCACCCGAAGGTCTCGGCTCTATCTCGCCTTTCATCACGAGTCTAGAGGTGGAAGCTCATCTGCGTGCTACGCCTGGCAACGCATCACTCGCTCTCGAGATCATTCGTCGTCAATGGGGCTACATGCTCAATACGTTCAGTAACTCTACCACCATTGAGGCTTACTACGTAACGGGAGAGCTTATGTACCCATTCTACGGTCTCGAGCTGGGTGCATACATCTCGCACGCACACGCTTGGTCCACGGGTCCGACGGCGTCTTTGACGTTGCATGTGGGCGGTTTGAGTCCTGTGACGGACGCTGGTAAGACGTGGGAGTTTGTACCCCACGCAGCTGGAACGGGTATTGGTGAGCTGCAGACTGGGTACTCACTGGCGACGGGAGACTTCTCTGTCAAGTGGACGACCAAGGACGAGGACAGTTTCTTCCAGGCCGACATTGAGACTCCGCAGAACACGACGGGGTCCATCTCAGTTCCCACGTTCGGCAAGTCGCTAGACGCGATCGAGATTTTTATCAACGGTAACACGGTGTGGACCAATGGTGCGTCGTCGTGGACTGGCTTCGGTACAGCCACTTCATCGAGTGACTTCGTGACGGTGTCACAGGTGCCGTACGGAGGCTGGTTCTCCATTGTCGCCAAGGACGCGTAAGGCGAAGATGTGGCAATGAAACTACAGTAACATCTCTTTATAGAGGTAAGATCTATATAGGTGTTTATCTGAACAAATTGAGATTTGTTATCCCTCTTTATTCGCTGAACATTTTGTAAGCTTGACGGACCGACCAGTTCAGCACGTTGTCTGGGCTCTGTTTTTCCAGTGACGACTCGACTTGTGTGGGTGTCCAACCCTTGGCCCTCCACTTCTTGAACTGCAATTCTTGCATGATGGTAATAGCACTTTTCGTTTCTCGGGGCGGATGTGCATATACAAGCATTCGTGCCAGATCCAAGTCATCGAAGCGCTTCTCTAATTCCGAAATGAGTGCGAAATCGTCAGGGATCTTCTTTAAGCTGTTCAGCCTGTTGACATACGTGGCCCAAGTGACGATCTTCGGATCATCGAAAAGCTTGTAAGCGTCCTTCTTGTCAAGATTCAGAAATTTAAAAATATCGTCCGCCGTTTTCCCTTGGCTCCTCCACATCTCCTGCTCCAGATCCGATGCAAGTTTGCGCGTAAAAATGCTATTTTTCGCCTTAGCAAACATCTCTTCTAGTTTCTCGTCGCTGTAGTATTTCTTCATCACCGAATACATCGTTTCATCCATGTTTTTCTTGCCTAGTCTCGCCACGTAGTTGACCCAAGTGTCCAAAATTGGGCTCTTAAAAAGTTCCTCACCCTCTTTGTTCAGTTTGAGAAGCTTGAATATGCTATCTGCGCTCGCCCTCCCTCCTAACCAGTCATTGTGCTGCGCCCCTTCCAATTTCCAGACTTCAATTCGAACATTGCTGTCTCTTGCCGCAACGTCGAGTATCTTCGCCAATTGTTCGTCGCTATATTTCGTCCTCAGTTTCAGTAACAGCAACTGATAGGCATTCTGACCGCTAGTTGCCACGTATTTCATCCATATTTTCAGAGCGGAATTCTTCAGCAGGTCTACCCCTGTATCTGTATTGAGACGTAGAAGCTTGAAGACGTCCTCTGTCGTTTTCTTGCCATTCAACCAGCTTTCAAGCTGTGCGCGCTCCACATGCGTAGCAATGACCTGTGTACTGCGATCATTTTTCGCCGCGACTAACATTTTAGCTAAATCTGCGTCATCATACCTTTCTCTCAACTTGAGCAGTAATGCATGATTCGGATTCTCCGTCCCGAGCTTCTTTTCATACGACATCCATGTGCTCAACAATGGGTTCTTCAAAAGATCATCTTCATCCACGTTCAGCTTCAGAAGACTGAAGACTTCATCTGATGTTTTCTCGTGAGCGAGCCAGTTATCGAGTTGAATACTTTCAAATTGTTTCGCTTCGGTCGCTGTCCCCCAGCCTCGACGTGCTTCAGCTAAAAGCTTAGCCAGAGGCTCATCGCCGTAGTGGTCTCTCAATATTGAGAACATGGCCGCTTGGCCAGCTTCAGGATTCTTCTTGTAAACTTTGGTCACGAACTTTGCCCACGTTTGATACGGTGTGCTCTGAAAAATACCCGACCCCACCACTCCAACATCGAGGCTTTCGAAAAGTTCTTTAGTGGCCTTCTGGTTATCTGAAGTGGATTTCTGGATGTTTGCCGCAAGCTTTTTTTAATGGCTGGAAGTTAATCAGACTTTGAAGTTTTGCAGCATCTGGCAGCTTCATGTTAATTGTCCTCTCTTCGAAGCTGTCTTCATTGCCTTCTTCTACGAACCTCTCATGCGTGCTGAAGTGGCGGCGCACGTGAGCATTCGCAACATGATTCGAAGCCTCACTCTTGACCTTAATGTAGGACGATGTAATCGCCGCTGGATTAGCGTTGTTGCATGATAGTAGAGAGAGGACCAGGAGAAGTATGAAGCAATAGAAACGCATAAGTTGTCTTGCTAGTTCCTACTTGGATGCAAAATGTGATATGCCCGGTTCCTCCGCAGGTAGCAATGCAGAGAATTATGATTTGTTGTTATCTTCGGATGGGATGGTCGAGACAAGACTGGTTCGTCATCATTTTCATTTCAAGTGCTATGTGTTATCGTCTGGATATTCACGGGTACTACTCTATCAAGTGGGACGCTAAAGATAATCGTTATTTATGCAAGGAAGGCCAAGTCAACCGTCAAATGTAGCACGCAGGACGTGAACTACAGTTTACAGTTAACAATTGTCTTGATATGTCTGTACATTATGAAAAGTATGCTACTACAAAAGTAAGGTGATGTTTACAAACGCTTGCAAACGTATTAGTGCATGTACCACAATCAGAGTCTGATACTGTAAGGTAGTACGCCAGTTTCGTGCACTCGACCAGTTTGTGCCGTTTAGTTTTAGCCAATCAGAACTTCCGGTTCTGCTATTTCTCTGTTTTTATTGGCTATTTCAATTGTGGCAAAAACAATTTGAGCTGGATAAGCCTCAATGGATTTGCTCTCTTACAATCTTCTAATCAAAAAGCGGCAGGAAACAGGTCACCCCGCTAAAATTAGGACATTCAAATGTAGAGCTATCAGTGCCCCCGAATCGAACACAATTTTAACATAATGGGTTAACGGATACTCCCGTCTTTCCCGAATAATTAATTTTAGATAAAGCTATCTAATTTAAAACCTTATACTAAA